CATTCCCATTTGCTTTTCCTGGTTCGCAGCAGGTTTCTTTTTTCACTGAATATTGAGGTTAAAAAGCCTGTGACTTGGGGCGCCTTGGTGGCTCAGTGGGTTGGGCCTCTGCCTTCAGCTCAGGTCATGATCTCAGGGTCCTGGGATGGAGACCCAAATCAGGCTCTCTGCTCAGCGGGAGGCTGCTTCCCCCCCTCTCTGCTTACTTGTGATTTCTCTCTCTCTGTCAAATAAATAATTAAATAATCTTAAAAAAAAAAAAAAAGGCCTGTGACTCTTTGTCATCAATTTTCCCACTTCATCTAATAATAGTTAGCACTTTCTTTATATATCTTTTCAATTCAAAAAGTACCCTACTGCCAATTATGTGGAGAGGTGGCTTTAATTCCTTCCTGCTTTATTTTTTTATGATTTTTAATTTATTTTAAATTTTTTTTATTATGTTAGTCACCATACAGTACATCATTAGTTTTTTTTTTTTTTAAGATTTTATTTATTGGGACGCCTGGGTGGCTCAGTTGGTTAAGCGGCTGCCTTCGGCTCAGGTCATGATCCCAGCGTCCTGGGATCGAGTCCCACATGGGGCTCCTTGCTCCGCGGGGAGCCTGCTTCTCCCTCTGCCTCTGCCTGCCTCTCTGTCTGCCTGTGCTCGCTCACTCTCTCTCCCTCTGTCTCTGACAAATAAATAAATAAAAAATCTTTAAAAAAAAAAAAAAGATTTTATTTATTTATTTGACAGAGAGAGAGATCACAAGTAGGCAGAGAGGCAGGCAGAGAGAGAGAGGGGGAAGCAGGCTCCCCGCTGAGAGCCCGATGCGGGGCTCGATCCCAGGACCCTGAGATCATGACCCAAGCCGAAGACAGAGGCTTAACCCACTAAGCCACCCAGGCGCCCCTTTCATCATTAGTTTTTGATGTACTGTTCCATGATTCATTGCTTGCATATAACACCCAGTGCTCCATGCAATCTGTGCTCCTTTATACTCATCACCAGGCTCACCCATCCCCCCACCGCCCTCCCCTCCAAAACCTTCAGTTTGTTTCCCAGAGTCCATAGCTTCTCATGATTCATCTCCTATCCCAATTTCTCCCCCTTCATTTTTCCCTTCCTTCTAAAGTCCTCCATGCTATCCCTTATGTTCCACAAATAAGTGAAACCATACAATAATTGACTTTCTCTGTTTGACTTATTCCACTTAGCATAATCTCCTCCAGTCTCATGCATTCTTTGTGATGGCTGAGTAATATTCCATTGTGTGTACGGACCACATCTTCCTTATCCATTCATCTGTTGAAGGGCATCTTGGCTCCTTCCACTTTGGCTTTTTCTCTCTTTGGCCTTTGAAAGTTTTAACTATTTTTATATTGCTGTTGGTAAAGTGGATAGCTTCTATTTGTGGATTCCCCCTCAGAACTGTCCACTTAAGAGTAACTTGAAGGTATAATTAAAGTTAGTAAAATTTTAAAGCATTATTCTACCTGATAAAGACCAGAAACAGAGGGGAAAAGGTGTTTACCATCAACAGGTCAAAAGAGAAAATTCTTTACAGGCAGAGCAATTGTTTTTTTTTTTACACTATTTACTTATTTGAGAGAGAGAGAACACACAAGCAGGAAGGTCAGGGAAAGGGAGAGAAAATCTCAGACAGACCCCACACTGAGTATGGAGCCATACTCAGGCTCATGACCCTGAAATCATAACCTCAGCGGAAACCGAGACACATAACCAACTATGCCACCCAAGCGCCCCCAGAGCAACTTTTTCTTATTTAATTTGATTAAAACAATTTAAAGCATTGCTAATTATTAGGAACAGGCTTAAAATAATGATGAAGAAATAGAAAGCTAGTTCTTCTTTATGGAATGAATACAAGGTGCCACACCATCAATAGAACATTAGAAAGATCTTCAGGGAAAAAAAATAATATGTATGGTATTAATCATCACAAGGAGTATTTTATGTCTTAGATAGGACTATTATTCATTCAGTATTGACCATCTACACAAAGCTAAGCATTGGGAATATGTAATAAAAATATACGTGTGTCCTGCCCTCAAAAAGCCTTACAGAAATCCAAATTCTCTTTTACAACATGAAATTAATAAAAGAGTTTCAAATTCAGATAAGATTCTGTGAATACCTGTTGATCACATAACTAATACTAGCAATTAAAATTTAAATTCTGGGGCACCTGGGTGGCTCAGTGGGTTAAAGCCTCTGCCTTCGGCTCAGGTCATGATCCCAGGGTCCCAGGATCGAGCCCTGCATCCGACTCTCTGCTCAGCAGGGAGCCTGCTTCCTCCTCTCTCTCTCTCTGCCTGCCTCTCTGACTACTTGTGATCTGTCAAATAAATAAATAAAATCTTCTTAAAAAAATAAACAAAATAAAATTTAAATTCACTTGGCAACATTGTTGAAAGAAATTCAAACTACTCCTGCTATACAATAATGTTTTGTGTTCTTATCTTAGTTCTTATCTACCAGGAAAAATCTTCTTATCACAATTCAAGATTTTAGAGCAGGATGAGAGATGAGCTGATCGAATTTAACAATCACCTCTACAGTTTCCAGGCAAAAATGATCAATCATTTATAGGCACCTCTGAGAGTGAAAAACTCTTCCGTTTAAGGTATCAACACATTCAAACATGTCTATCCCGGCTAGGGAAGGAATCCAGTGGCCCCTCATAAACCCAGCTTCCCAAGACTTGGAATCTCCCATTCAATACAAAGGGTACCAAGGGACACCAAACCAAAGGGTCTGCACTTTACACTGTGACAATGTAAATAAGCTCACTCTACTAAATTCTATTATATGTAACCAGTTTGACATGTAAGGTTTCAACAGTGTGGCCAGATCACCTGGAAATTCTTTCTAGGAAAAGCTACATTTTGCTGTGCCTGTAAAATTATGATTTCATAAACTACAGATCTATTCTGTTCTTTAGTTCTACCAGGAAAAAGAAAATCTATCATGTACTGAATGGTTATTACCTGCTAGGCTCAGTGCTATGCACTTTAAAAAGACTGTCTAGGGGCGCCTGGGTGGCTCAGTATAGGTTAAAGCCTCTGCCTTCGGCTCAGGTCATGATCCCAAGGTCCTGGGATGGAGCCCCACATCTGCTGAGCAGAGAGCCTGCTTCCTCCTCTCTCTCTGCCTGCCTCTCTGCCTACCCTCTGCCTACTTGTGATCTCTGTCAAATAAATAAATAAAATCTTAAAAAAAAAAAAAGACGACTAATTTAATCCTGACATTCTCCAGAGTAGACATCTTATGTCCATTTATAGATAAAGAAATTGAAGCACAGAAAGGCTTAAAAATTGGTCTGAGTATTTTATTCTTTTTGGTGCTATTGTAAATGGAATTGTTTTCCTAATTTCCTTTTCAGACAGCTCATTGGTAGTATACAGAAATGCAACTGATTTTTGCATGTTGATTTTGTATCTTGCAACTTTACAAAATGTGTTTATTAGTTCTAACAGTCTGTTAGTCTTTAGGGTTTACTATATATAAGATCATGTTGTCTGCAAACAGGAACAATTTTAGTTCTTCCTTTCCAATTTTGAAGCTTTTTTAGTCCCTTTTCTTGCCTAGGTGCTCTGGCTAGGACTATCTGCCTCATTCCTTATCACAGTGGGTTATTACCTCACACCTGTCACGATGGCTATTATCAAAACAAGAACAAAAACAAAAGACAAGTGTTGGTGAGGATGTAGAGAAAATGGAACCTCTATACTGTTGATAGGAACGCAAAATGATACAACTGCTAGGATAAATAGTAAGGAGGTTCCTCAAAAATATCAAAATAGAATTACTGTATGATCTAGCAATCCTGCTTCTGTGTATTTAACCAGAAGTACTGCAATCAGGATCTCGAAGAATTACTAGCACTCTCATGTTCACTGAGGCACAATTAATAATCACCAAGATTATTAATGTCCATGGGCAGAAAAATGCAATAGCAAAATGTGATATATACATAGAATGGAATATTACTCAGCTTTTAAAAGAAAATTCTGCAATAGGTGACAACATGGGTGAACCTTACAGACATTATGCTAAGTGACATAAGCCAGTTACAGGAAGACAAATGATTTCACTTACATATATGAGGTATCCACTGACATGAGATTATCTAAAATAGCCAAATTCATAGAATGAAAGAGTGGAATGCTGGTTGCCAGGGGCCAGAATAGAGGGAATGGGGAGTTACTAATTAATAGGCATAAAGTTCTAGTTAAGCAAGATGAATAAGCTCTTAAGATGTACATTGTACCTACAATCAACAGTACTATCTTGCACACTTAAAAAATGTGCTAAGAGGATAGACCTCATGTTAAGTATTCTATATATATTTTTTTTTTAATTTGACAGGGGTCACAAGTAGACAGAGAAGCAGGCAGAGAAATGCGGAAGTAGGCTCCTTGCTGAGCAGAGAGCCCGATGCGGGGCTCAATCCCTGAACCCTGAGATCATGACCTGAGCCGAAGGCAGAGGCTTAACCACTGAGCCACCCATGCGCCCCTCATGTTAAGTATTCTAAAGCATGGTAAAAAAAAAATCTTTTAATTGGTCCAAGAACTCAAACCCACTTCTAACGGACACTCCCTTGCTCCTACTTTAACACAATAAACTGCCTCGAAGCAGATTAGAATGTACTAAGAGGACTCTTCTCCCAGCACTGTGTGACGTTAGGGAATTCGCTTAACAGCTCTGAACTTGAGTTTCCTCACCACCAAAATAAGTCTCAGCGCAAAGACAACTGGTCGGTCTGCAGTCTTGGCCACCGGCCGACCTCGCACGAGCATCCGCGGGACCAAGAGGAGGTCAAGCTGGATCTCAGCTCCTGAGCCAGACCGCAGGCATGAAGGGGCGAAACGCTGCAGGAGAAAAGAACAAAGCCTCGCCCCGCTGGGTCACTATGACCCAAAGGAAAAGCGTCAGTACGACCAGCCCACGGCCTCGTTTCCTAGGTAGCTGGACCAAGAACTCGGCTCACCTCGGGCGGGAATCACTGGCTGGCACCTCCCCTTCACCCTGCGCCTCAGTCGCCATCTTAGTCAGCAAACTTCTCTCACCGCCCCTATCTCCGGCCCCGCCCCCACGCATTTGGATTGGCTAAGGTGTTCCCCCTCATCCGTACGATTGGATGACTAAACAGTTTCATGATATTATTGGTCTATTCAAATAGCTAACGGTCATTGGTCACCCCCAGCCCGGGCGGAAAAGGGTTGGGGACGAGCCCCAGCCCCGAGGCTCCTGGGAGTTGTAGTTTCATGTTTCGATGAGACTTTCCGAATCCACCCACTTTTTAACTTTCTGGTCAGAAATCCCCAGCCTACGCTCAAATTAAGTCTGAATGTGAAATCTCAGAATCACAGAACTGTCGAATTTGAAATTGACTTTAAGAACAACGCTCTAAAATGTAAGATTCAGGGGCGCCTGGGTGGCTCAGTGGGTTAAAGCCTCTGCCTTCGGCTCGGGTCATGATCTCAGAGTCCTGGGATCGAGCCCCACATCGGGCTCTCTGCTCAGCAGGGAGCCTGCTTCCTCCTCTCTCTCTGCCTGCCTCTCTGCCTACTTGTAATCTCTGTCTGTCAAATAAATAAATAAAATCTTAAAAAAAAAAAAATTAAAAAAAAAAATAAAATGTAAGATTCATTTTCTGTCTCGACACAGAGTATACCTAGAAGAGTTGGTACGGCGCGGGAATCAAGAAGTACTTGACTATCACGTTTAGCTCACATCCAGCCGCACAGCTTAGCGGTGGGCCACTTAGGCCTCTTTCTACATGCGCCCTTCCGGCTACCCAGAGAACCCATAGGCTTTGCCTCTCTGATCTGAAACAAGGAACGAATAGCACCATAACCTTGTCCCTGAATGAGCTTTAATGCTCAATGGTAGAAATAATCGTAATTATGCTTGTCCTGGGATCAAGCCCAGTATCAGGCTCCCTGCTCAGCCAGGAGCCTTCTCCTCCCTCTCCTACTCCCCCACTTCTGTTCCCTCTCTTGCTGTGTCTCTCTCTGTCAAATAAATAAATAAAATCTTTTTTTAAAAAATTATGTAGTTGTTTATGTGACTATTTATTTCATGTGAGGGTTCCCAGCTAGACTTCCTACCACACTTGGGCGGAGACGACCTCTATTTTGCTCCCCATGGCTTGTGGCTCATAGCAACCTTTTCAATAAATAGTTTTTGAACAAACGAGTAAACAAGTCCTCAGATTATAAGATCCAAAATAAAAGTTGATTCACATGTTCTAATAGGTTATTTCAGTCGATGAATTCATAGTAAAAGTTTGATGAAGGTGTCAAAATAAAATTGCTTTATGTTTATTCTGTGTTTTATGTTTAACAGATTTTCTTTGAGCAAATAAATACATAAAAAGTAACACAAAATTCAACAAACACGTATCAGTGAGATTATTCATTGAACCCAAGACAGTCTTGGAAAATCCAGGCTGCATATTTGGTGTGTATATATAAAGCAAGGAACACAAGTCTCAAATTCTGCAAAGTATTTCTCCAAAGTATGAACAAGTTTTTGTCCCAGCCTCCTGATACCCCACATCAACTGACTGACTGACTGACTGACTGGATTAAACTGATGCTTTCACACAGAAGAAATGTTCAAAACTTTAAAGTATTACTGCTACGGGGCGCCTAGGTGGCTCAGTGAGTTAAAGCCTCTGCCTTCCGCTCAGGTCATGGTGTCAGGGTCCTGGGATCAAGCCCCACATCGGGCTCTCTGCGGGGAGCCTGCTTCCCCCTCTCTCTCTGCCTGCCTCTCTGCCTACTTGTGATCTGTCAAATAAATAAATAAATAATCTTAAAGTATTACTGCTACAACCAAGTAGAATACCACACAATGCTATTTCTGGTTTACCTGTTTGGATGACATTTTTATACAAAGTCCTTAATGTCTGGAGAAATGCTGTCCAGTAGTTAAGAGCAGTAAGCTTACTTTCAAATCCTAGCTCCATTACTTATAACTGTGTTACCAACAACTTAACTTTGATTCCTTTTCCTCCTCTGTAAAATGAGGATGATAATAATTCTCAGAGCAGTATTGTGAAGATTGAAACGAGATAATCTCTGAAACGCTGCTTACCTGCACAGTGCCTGGCATGTATTGAAACTAGATATATAGTCAAGGTAATGTGATAAATGTTAAGAATGCTAAACTCCCTTCTCAGATAACATTTCTACCTCCATTGCTGCATGATAAGGACCATACTTTACACTTATAGTTACAGTTTAATCAGTTACGCTGGAAAGGAGAATGTTTCTTCTGAAAACCAACTATTCCCCTGTGACTTCTGATGAAAAGCAAGTATTGTTGCTGAGTACTGTAAAAGTACTCCCCAGCCAGCAAGACTGCCCTGTTTCTGCAAGGATGTCCTGGTCCCCCTGAAATCTCACTCCATCAAGGTACCACTGCTGGCCAGCCTCGTGATAAGCATGGCTGTCCAGCAGGTATTCATGAAAAGTTCAGAAAGTCATCTTGTTTCCAACAGTCTGGCTGAACAAAAGGTCACAGGATAGTGGCCCCAGCCCTCAAGGAGTTACAGACTCGGAGATAAAATGAATACACGTAAGTCACATACAACGGAAGGCAGATTAGAATTACCAAGAACGAAATAGTAAAACAGAGAAAGACTCCTAGGAATTCAGAAGTACGGAGAAGGGAAGAAGGCCAAGGCTCCAAAGGATGGTTTATGATCCCAGGCACGGATTCGAATCTACCCTCAAATGTCATTGCATATCAATCTATCTACCCCCAATGAACTTCAAACACCTTTTGCACTGTTTAATTACACAAATAACATATGAAGATGCTTCCCTTGCAAATAATAAATAAATAATACAGATAAAAGCTCCCTTGTCAACCATCCCTACATTCTAGTCCTTCCTCTAAGAAAATACCATTTTCAGTTTAATATGTGTCCTTTCAAGGGCACCTGGGTGGCTCAGTGGTTTAAAGTCTCTGCCTTCAGCTTGGGTAGTGATCCCAGAGTCCTGGGATCGAGCCCCACATCAGCATCATCGCACTCTCTGCTCAGCAGGGAGCTTGCTTCCCCTTCTCTCTCTGCCTGCCTCTCTGCCTACTAGTGATCTGTCTGTCAAATAAATAAATAAAATCTTTGAAAAAAAAAATGTGTCCTTCCAGATCTTTCTCTATTATAGTACATTCCTTCAAAAAATATTTACTGAATGCTATTATGTGCTAGGCACTGTTCTGGGCCTGGAAATAGAGATGTGAACAATGCATTTGTTCAAGCAAAGAACTGAGGCATTTCTTTCCTTTTCTTATTTTCCCGTTAATCTTTTTTTTTTTTTTTTTAAAGAAATCTCAACACCCAACATGGGGCTTGAATTCATGACCCCAAGATTAAGAGTCACATGCTCTACCAACTGAACCAGTCAGGTACCCTTTAATTTTTAGATACATGGTGATATATTGTACATATTATCTTTGTAGGAGCATCTCAGAGATCTATGTCAGTTACACTTTTGAACGGCTATGTTTGCCATGTAATGCTCTGCCATCACCCTTTTGAACTGCTGTGTAGCATTCCACCTTATAGATGCTCCCCAGCTTACTTAAACCACCTCCTCCAGACATAAATTCGGTTTACGTCAGTCTGGATTGCAAGCACTGGAAGCTGACTTCGCCTAACATAACAGAAACTGGATTTGTTGGAAGGGTACTGGGGTAAAGAGCTGGCAGGAAGGAAGGGGGCTGGGGAGCCAAAAACCCAGCCAAGGTCACACCATTCAGTGCCACTTGACTCAGCAGTGACCCTTCCACTGATTTCCTATCTACGCTTGGGTCTCCGCATCACTCCAGGGAGAGGAAGAGTCATGGGTGAAAACATCTGATTGGCTAGACCACAGTCACCTGCCTCCACCCTTCTGCATGGAGGAAAGCCCTGTCTCCCACCAAAGTTCTCCCAGTGGGGAATTACCCACAAAAGGGGGGAAAAAAATCATAGGACAAATGTGTGCTACACATTTCTTGCTTCCTGGGACACCTGTTTATTGTGGGCTGGGGCAAAGTTTAACCATTCATTCTCCTTCAGACACAACAGAGACTAACACTTACATTATTCCATATGCAAGGGGGAAAAAAGCTACCTGCAGCTTTGCTGTAGAATCCCCTTCAAGACTGGCCATAGGGTGCGTGGAAGAGGGAATTCAATGAGGTGAAGAGAAGAGCAACCCATTCTGTGCAGCTAAAAGCGACCCAGGTCAGGGCTGGAACCGCAGGGGAAGAACCCCGGAGGTCATTTTCCCCAGCCGGGATAACAAGCTGGGAAACAGTCAGGTCACAGGCAAAAAAGGCTGGTGGAGAAAAACACTGGAAGCACACTCAGTCACAGAACGTTCGTGATTGGATTCACCATCAGGCACTGAGCTCAGCGTTGAGCACCGAGCCATGAATCCTATCTCTGAAAGCTCAGACTGGTGCTGGGGGGCACGGGGGCCAGGCTTCCTGGGCCTTGAGAGAGGCAAGAACACACTCTCTGAAAGCCTGAAAGTACAGGAAGTAGCCAGGCCCGGCACAGGGTATGGATCCGAGGGAGGCTTGAGGGGGTCCTGAGTCTTGCAGGGTGAGTTGAAAGTCCTGAACACTGGCCAAATCATTTGGGGGTTTTTGGTTTTTTTTTAAGATTTTATTTATTTATTTGACAGAGAGCCAGATTACAAGTAGTCAGAGAAGCAGGCAGAGAGAGAGGGGGAAGCAGGCTCCCCGCTGAGCAGAGAGCCCTACGCAGGGCTCAATCCCAGGACCCTGAGATCACTACCCGAGCTGAAAGCAGAGGCTTAACCCACTGAGCCACCCAGGTGCCCCAGCACTGGCCAAATCATTTTGAATTGGAGTGTTTCTGGCCCTCGAATCAAAAACACCCAGGCCTCAGGTCAGGAGGCCCCAGGTGCTGATGGTAAGTTTCAAAGCAGTAACATATATGTGACATTCAGGAATGGGCAGGTTCATTGTGAACTCACTGTGTGGGGTGTTATCTCCACAGTCATGTGAGCTGAGGCCTGGATGGATCCTT